AGAACAGATTGTGGTATCTTCCAGACCACCTCTCTTTCGTCACAGTATTAACAAAGAACCAAGCAGTTAATTGACAGAACAAAATATACCATGTCAAACATCACAAACGATAGATTCAGCCGAGTTCCAATTGAGTCTCTCGCAAAACCAAATTAGTTTGCAAATGAGTGTATTTCGCTATGCTATGTCATGTTTCTACACCTTAGAATTGACTAATAGCTTCCGAAGATTCCCGCTGTGGCCACTTTTGCAGATCCTGCTATCGATAGCGGCAACCACAAAGTATGTATCGAATCAGACTTCCTCGTTCATAAGTACATAAACATTATGGTTACTCAATGTGATGTCTCCCTCTCTATCATGCAATGCCACTTCGATTACCTATATTCAAGACGTGTCTGATTTACATTGATTGGTGGAACACATGTCTGCTGAGATTCACTAGACTTGAGAAGAAATTAACATCAAAACGCGAGTCTTGAACAGAAAGATCTGCGATTAGACTGCTTCTTTCTGGATTTTGTTCACCTACTGGCATCTCAATTGTCGTGCTTACATGACAGCTACGTATTAAAAGTATACCACGATTGAACGTTCGTTCTGCTTTGAAGAGTCATGCAGCTAGCGTGTACGTGATGCTATGGTATATTGTACCTGTAATCAGACTAGTATATCGAACGTGAAAAGGTAGTTATTTCATAAACAGAGTGTGAATTATCATGGTCTGCATTCTGCGCCTGTTTCTCAAAAGTAGTTTGGTAGCTGGGACGCTCACCGCAAAAATCCTCGAGATGAGAATGCAGGCTTTAGTTCTGCTTCTATTGCAGAGGGAGAGACCGATCACTACAGCGTGAAACGGTACTATCGACTATAGGGCAGTGGAAGGAAGTGTCCTTGAGTGACTGAACTATACAAAAGGTAGTGGGGCTTGGTGTGCCTTCGTAGACTGAATGAGAACTCTCGACGATTTACTCAAATTGATTAAATGTGACGGTAAATCGATTCAATATAGTTGGAAATTTCTACCCTCGGTGTACAATGCCGCTAGATTGTCACGTATCTGTGACAAAACGGTAGAATGCATCGCTCACCTCAGTTCACATGCGGTATGATCGCACTCAAAACTGACAGGTCGCACCACAGATGCAAGTGCTTGAGCGAAGTAATTCACCTAACTAATTGGTGTCAAATATTTGGACCACTGGGTTACCAACAGATCTGAAGCTACTATACGATGGACGTGAATAGGCAACTTTGTGAAACTATAAGCATTGACAAAAACGAGAGAGCAACGACAAGTGTAATGCTGTTCCAAAGGCCTCTTAGGTTGGTATAAGATTTACCTGTAATAATTAGTGTTTTAATGGCATATATCCAAACCCAAAGTTCAGATACATGAAAATAGTTGCACGACCGAGGAGGCGTGTATATTGTGACGCAGATCCATAAGGACAAGTACAGTCGCTATATCTTGCTAGGCTTCCGTAGCTTCGTTCGTACTGAATAAACCACTCAACTTTTATTTGACAGGCTGCCTCGCAAAAACCAATCATACGGACCGGCAAACACTGAGTCAAGTTTCAATCATATCACATCTTTATTCAGGGTTATAGTTTAGAGTATTTTAGACCGCTTTTAGATCTTCCGCCATCTTGACTCCCAAAGGCAGGATTGATGTAAACAACTTCTGAGTGTGGAAGGTTCCGAACCCCTTCAATCAACTTTGGACCAACGAAAAATTCCGTACTGTTAAGGCGATTGTAGTGCAAAAACTTCAAATAGCGGGCTTCGTCTAAATGGCCTTGCAGTTGGCTGGAAACCATGTCATCAAACGACACTCATCAAAATACTCAAAATCACTCTCCGGTAACATCACCTGGAGGAGTGTTTAGACGTGTGGGTAAAATTTATACCAGCCAGCATCAGACCCCTTTGTTTTCCTTTGTATTTCCCACAGAAAACATTCACTCGCAAGCTTACGAGTGATGTGTTACGTCCATACAATGTACCGCGATATCTCGAATATCGTCCTAGCTGAAGCCTGAGGCGGCCTGGTGCAGCACATCTAATTGCTTTTGGAAATCGTAAACGAGGGATTCAGCCGATTTTGCATCTATCTGTCTTTTTCACAAAAACTCAGGTTCAACTCTGTGATGATAAAAGACACTAATTTCGTAGTAACCGAAAGTTGTCTCAGTGGTTGTGTAAGAGTGGCTGTCAATAAAACACAGCATTCCGATCGATGGACTTTACGATCAATTTTGCCTTCTATTTATGTGAATGTCCTGATACAAGATAGTGCGTACTGAAAGGGCGCAAAAGCGCTGCTGGTCAGTTCAAACTTAGCACTGCACGCTTCATTGTGCGATGCCCTTAATTGCCTATCATTAAAAGGTCGCGCATTCACCCACTCCTTAATCAATCATGTGGAAGTTTCCTTCCATTTGCACCACACGTCAATGCTTGCTCTCTTCAGTTTCCTTATGGAATCCAACTGTGTAGATTCAGTCTCATTACGTCGGAATGGATTTAGGTCCGCATTTGTCTGACAATCAGATATCCATGAAAGAATGAATAAGTTAGTGAACCAGGCAGGATGGATCGATGCGGCATAACTTTCTTGTTCTCCACATGAAAATGCAACGAGGAGATCAATAAGCGTAATGACGTAAAGGTAGATCATGAGTTCCCATCTAGCTTAGCAATACCAGTTGTGATTAATACGGGGTTACAAACCAGTTAGATCTTCCTTCCATTGTGATTTCAGCTACTGCAACTCCCTCCTCTTATCAAACACTACGGGATTGCCAAGCTGCCATCTGAACGGCACTCACTTGACATCACATTCTTCCAGTGATGGTTCCACAAAACAGAACTTCAGCCTGCGCTGCGAGTGCTTACTGGTCTAGGCAGGAATCTCCACCAACTTCATGTGTTCCAAATGCGGACATTGTGGAGTTAACCGAGTATCCCCGACTCTCAGAGGTAAAGCGAGTGGTTCGCTTCCTATTCTGGTACTGGTTGTCTGGTGATTTACAGCCACCACCAATCTCAGCTTCGCGTCGACGTTTGGGGTGAACAATCATTTATTCCCGAACCAGACTGGCCAGAATACCGGTTGCCAATTTCTCGGTTAAGCAAGTCTCATGGTATTGCATTTGTTGCTTATTCCAGCATCCGTACTGCCACCGAATTTATCAGCCTTTTAACAACAACACGGAGTTGTGTTCTATCTTCCAAATGACTTGACTAAACTACCATACATCTCTTATCAACAGCACAACTTAGAATTGAGTACCACTCACAGATTTGCCTTAGTGAACGTCTAATTGAGGATTTCGGCCGCCGCAAACCGAGTGCAGCTCAGGGACAGCGATGAACCAAATCAATGGAGTGCCCCTCATGGCGTTTCGCAATTTCTTGGCATGAAACATGAGTTCCGTGCGTACCGAGTCCAAACTGACCATAAATTCAGTGAACAGGTGTTTCCGACGGTGAGCGTCGAAAGTTCGAATGTCCCGGGTTGAAAGCATGCGGAATAAAAAAAAGAAATTCTAATGAAGTCTCGTATAGCACAGAAATACAGGAGTCTACCACTCAACATTTTCTTCCATCCAATAATCAATCAAGGCAGAGAACCTGATCTCACTAAAGTCACAGCGCAACAGGCTTGTGCGTCGGTTCTGCCACAATTCACTTAGAACACTTTGTTGTTTTGAGCTACCTTGAAGTGTTGGTTCCGTGGATTGATCCGAACAATCTTTATACACGGCGCCTGCTCTAATCAGGAGACCGGAAATTCGTCCGTCTTGATGGGGCGAGCACTCTTCGTACAGTACTGCTAACAAGAAATGCCTCTGTCGAGTGCAGTGGACGAGTTCCATTCGAGTTACAAATAAAACGTAGTTCTAGGTTGCGATTAAAATCCAGGTGGGCTCGAATAGAAACAGACCGAGGGTTTGTATGTTGATTTATCCTAATTGGTCGGTAATTTTTCGCTGGAAAGGACAGTGGCTGACGTTTCCACACTTTACCATCTCTTTATCACCCTGTTTTAGAAACAGTAGCCAGATGAACTGCTTGATTTCGGAGCAATGGGTAGGCGCTCATCCACCTTCATTGCCACGGGGGTTAACGAAACAGTCTCTTAAGCACTGGATGTTCAGTAGAGTAACGCTGAGACGGCCAACTAATTATAACTAAAATACAAAACATGCCTCTTCGCTATGACTGAGACCGATCGCAATTGCTGATCGCCAAATGAATGTGACCGAGATTGCTGTCTACGACCAGATGAATGCTACACGAGCAATTGTCAAGTGATCGGAACTAACGGTCACAATTTAAACTTCGGCAAAAGGTACATGATCAGCAAGATGAAGACTGTTAGTCTCGCTAGGCAACCTGATCATCATCATCACTGTCAGCTGTAATAAACGCGTACTCGTCGTATAGTGGTTGTAGCTGCCGCAGTTTCGTTCTACGACCATTGGGGGGTAGGAAGGTGCGCATTGCAGGCGGGAGATGATAAACTGGTGCATAAATCCAGCACTATCAGTGGGCTGTCAAGCGGGGGACTGGGAAGGGAGCTATGCAATGAAGGCAATAGCTTGGATGAACGAGCGCCATTGAGGGCATAACTGGGCCATGTCCGACAATGTCTCCCACAATTAATGTGGATCGTCTAGGGGAAGACGGCAATGACCACCGCAGCTGAGTTTGCTGGTAATGGCTTTCATACTTCGCTACCAAGTCATTGCTTGCCCGACTCTGGCTCGTTTCTACCCTTCACGTGGTTGTGCGAAAAGAGCCCTTCGAGGAAGTCGGTCGACTGGCATACGCAGCACGTGGCTAAACCTACGCAGTGTGATCAGTTCATCTATCGAGGGTGACTTATTTCTCCCGATTACCATTCGATGTACTTCAGAATTGCTGATCTGGTGGCAACCTGATGCCGTAGCTTACTGCTCAAATCCATTGAGGGAAGACCTAATGTGGGTCAGACCAAATTTATTTGGGAATGAGGTTTCCTGATCAAACGATGAAAGCCCCGAAAACCGAGTTTAATAGCACAGCACGTCAAAACAGATGCAGTGTATAAACAGCATGGCTAATGAGAGAGGAAAAACCGTTCAATCATATTATGTACAGCATTTACTGGTCTGACAAGCGTGGGCCGTCGAAACAACGAACTGAAGCAAACTAGTTGAAGAAAAATGAAGAAAGGATAGAGCAGATGCAGATGCGAATTTACACGGGTGCTGTTAGCAAATTTGATGCATCGAAAAAGGGATAACAGGAAGAAATGGGCAGCGCTGAAGTAGGGATGTAAATATCCCCCCCCAGACCAAGCCTGGTTAATAACCTGTGGAGCGACTCGCTTCAGGAGGCATGTGACTAGAGCCCGGTAGACAAGAACCACTGCGAGGAGAGTTACTGGTGGTCGGGGATTCGTAGGCAGATCCTAAGCCGCTGAAAATTCCCTTGAACTCCATTTCGTAGTCATTAGCCAATTGAAACAAATAATCCAGCTGATTTTCCTCATCCAAAGGCGAATCGACTGGCTCCAGTTCATCCACGGACTCGGTAGGTTCGGTATTTCGTAACTTTTGTCGTTCTTTCTGCCACTGATCGAACAGTGAACGATAACGTTGTAATTCTGTACGATTACCCAATTCGTGATAGACGCGCTGCAGACCGCGGTAATCATATTCCAAGCCACTGTAGGTTGGACCAAAGAGGTTGAGACCTGCAGAGGAAGGGAGAGAAAGAAAGTAGGAACAAAAAATGGGTTGGTGATGACCAGCAACCAGATTGATGTTGGAAAACAAGCACAGTATAATATGGAATCATGCCGCGTGATTGTTTGACGAAGCAGTTTGAATCGAAGATTCCTGGAACGCTTTTGCATCGAGCCATTGTCATTTCCCAGCTTCCTTTATTGTCCTCACTAAGAGTTTACTTAGACAAGTAGATACAAGACTTGAAGGCACCTGAGGATCCGTCCGTCGGTCAGCTACAAACCGCATGTAAAGGTATGTTCTATAGTCTCACTGGGGCTAGATAGCTCAGTGATTAGAGCGCGAATTTACTGACCGGAGGGTCCGTGGTTCGAACCCGACCTCTGTATCTCGAATTCCCCTGTCTAGGCTTGGGCAACCTGGTAGTATCCCAACTCCCGTGCATGGCATGGCAGCTTGGTACAGCTGAACGGTTTTTATATGTCTCGTTTGTCGGCAAAAGGAGGGATAACGGACAGACGGTCACGCACTGGAGGCGATGGCATAACGACTTGCATGGTGTCGAACCGTTCAATTTTACACAGTAACAGATTTCATGCACGTGCACTGTTGGTTGCGTGACTGGACCGGGCCTGACGGTATCAACGGTTAACATGCCCCACCCCGAATTCCTTATACGGGAATGCAGTAGTTATCAAGGCCACGAAACTTACTGGTTAGGTTATCAAAAACCAAGGATTAGCCATCTTTAAGTCGTTTTCACCTTGCACATGACTGGGTGAATTTGGCTCTGTGAAACAGGCAGTCCTCTGGTATGCGAACCACTTGTCCCTACCAGCCTAACTTGTGGAAGGTGGCTAGTTCAATCAATCGCGGAGGGCCATTTCTCTCAAGAACCAGTCCAGGTGCTTCACTGTTGTTGATTCGATGTGTCCACCAGACTTGGGTAATACTTCAGAGACGTCGACGACCGAACACTGAAAGTTTTTTCGCACCTTCGGCAAGTATTGTCCGTAAAACAGCATGGATTATATGCAGGGGCCGCAAACTTTACCATCGATAGAGCAGTTGGTGTTACGAAGGCACCATAAATTCCCATGGTAGAACTGATTACTGCGAGCGACGTCACATTAAAAAATCAAAGTACTTACTCAGTTTCCCACAAGTTCTTCTGAACGCAATAAACCAAACTAGACGATGTAAACCGGCAAGCTGCGGATATTCCGTTACTAAATTCTGCTTCACCTAAACTGACAGGCCTAAATAGAAACGACAAACTCAGACTTCTCATTAGCATTCTCGTTCGAAACGGGAACAGACGAGGTATAGGCCAAAATACAGAATGACGAGGTTTTGAGCAGGAGGGGTGGGTAGTATAAAGTTAGTCTGAAATTGTGGAACACATATGTCACTAGTGTCAGGTAGTTCGTGACGGATTAACCATCGACAGGGAACTACATGCAGGGAGTAACATATTAGCTTCTCCATAGAAGGCATATTCTCTTGGGAAAGGTGGGAAATGTGAAGCATCCCGTGTCTTTCGGATCCGGTTAACAAAAAGTTCAAGGTGTCTTCTAACGTTTTCGACGATAGACGGTAGGGTGTGATGAAATTAGTCATTTCAACCGCAATTCATGGTCAGACAATTAGCAGTCTTGAGTATGTGGAACTGGAACAAACTAGTTTATTAGTTTGCCTGCAAGAAATCGAAAATCACTTAGCTGTAGCACCCTTTCGGTGCCTAGCTGTCATGCCACCAGAAGGAAGCACGAGGGCTGGGGTACGGTCAGGTTGCCCAAGCCTAGACAGGGATAGGTAATTCTATAGGCTTCACGAACTTTGAATCAGGTCCACGGGCTGTTTATCAACTATTGGACTTCGTTACACAGTCTCCGTGTCAAGATGCCTGCGCAGTCGTTGCCAATGTCAGCAACAGCACTATCATAAGGTGGTTCGCGATGGCTTATTCTGTATACTGCGCAAATCAATGAATGAATGAGTAATTAGAAAAAGCGGCCCAACCTATGAGCGCAACACAGAAACACTAATAATGTTAAGGGTGCTTTCAAATCATTTCGTGTTGAAACATGAAGCGAACATCAGTAATGAAGAAGTTTAAAATTCACTAGGAAGCGTAGATATTTTTATGCATCGTATTATGTCCTCTTCGACGTTTGAAGTTGTCTATCTTCCGCGCCAAGTGGGGGGCCACCAAATGTGCCAGAACAAACTTTCTTTTCAACTTCGCTTATGGTGTATGTGGAGCTCCCTCTGGATGGTGTGCTTCCGACATTGAGCACAAAAGGGACAAGGTAGCCTAAAATTCTTCGACGGCCCACGACCGGTTTCGTCCTTCTTGGGGTTCATCAATTAGACGCAGTCCCCCAGTTCCTGTCAACCTTATGTTTTACTTGAAACCAAATTGCACGAAATTAACGAAATACACTCATTTGCAAACAAATTTGGTTTTGCGAGAGACTCACCTGGAACTCAGCTGAATCTCTCGTTTGTGATGTTTCTAGGCAACTGAATGTGCTGCAATGATATTCGACATACCGCGATATATGTATATTCGTAATGCACCACTGAAACGAGAAGTTCAGCTGGGTTCCAGGTGAGTCTCTCGCAAAACCAAATTAGTTTGCAAACGAGTGTAATTCGGCAATGTACTTCATTTTTGGTCAATGTTTTGGAAAAAGAAGTATATGTGTTTTCAGCCGTAAGTTGTGTAAATTTGCTAGGCTCTTCTTCCACGAATGCCAACAATTTCAAACTCTTCGGAGGCGCTTCATGGTCTTGTTTTCACCCGAGGATGAGGTCACCGATAAGAGATATTGTGAGTTTGCATAACTTCCGTTGTGTCTTGTCATCGACGTCGGTGTCAAAAAATGTCAGGCTGGTGACCGAAGATACGGTTTTTAGTACTCGTGTGCGACCAGTTCGTCAACTCAATTCGAAAAAAGTGTATAAAACTCTCTGTTTTTTAACGATGGTGCCAACGGTCTCCAATGAAGCCAACGGGTCGGGTAAACTGTATAATATTTGCATGAGCAACAGGCTAAGTGCACGCGGATTGAAAGACAGTGCAATTTGGCCAGGTGACGTCTTGCTAGTGTCGAAGCGCTACTGCAGCAAAAAGAGTCGGTCAGGCTAGAAACGAACAACGTTTCATGTTACGAACGTCTGGATGGCACAACTTAGCAAAGCCAGGGAGGTTGGTTGGGCAGCAGCTGACAGGCCTCAACGGTTGTTGGAGACAGTCTTTGATAGAGTGAAATGATGCGATCGCTAGCAAATCTTCATTCTTAAAGAGTTCAACCTGACTAAGTATCCAAGCATTCCAGTTTCAGTCTCACTACAACCCCGATTGGCGGGATCCCAAAGTTTGCTCTCATCCTACTTTTGGGATCATACATTATTCCTGTCATAGATAACTTACGGACGGGAGGAGACAATTGCTCGTAGGAACGGAGTGACACCAAAACTCAAGACTGTGATGGAAAGGTTGAGAGCGTGTGAGCTCATTGAATCTCTGCGATGCTGTAACATCTCCTCGCCGTACCAGCTGACAATAATTACTACCGTGGCAATGGTGATCTGACAGTCGATGGTCCGTCTGGTTGTGGTTCTTCCGGGATACCGTAAATTTAACGTTTCGTTTGCCCAAAGCATTCAGACATACGGAACTACTTGGAGTTAGGTTATAAATAGAATATTGCACGAGCATTGCACTTTGGATACTCTTTTGGTACCACCTTCAGTTGTATGTGCATGAGAATTCTTCCATTTTTAGGTAGCTACTAAGTGGTATCAACATGGGCCTAGAATCAAGACTCGTGGTTTCCAAAAGTGTGGAAGCAACTGAAAGCCAGGTAACTAATCCAGGGGATGCCCAACGGAGACCGAACTGCACAAAATACTATTACAGTGGTCCAGCACGCGAGAATTTAGAGTACAAATCAAAGAGTAGCACCTAAGATAACTACCAATTAAGAACATTATATTATATTGAACTTAAGTATCCGGCTGAGAAAAAATAACGGAATGATGAACTTCACGGAAGTTGCGGAATGTAGCAGGCGATCACAACAAAAGATGCATTATGGGTAAGGATCTGCCAGAACGTTGTGGCTTGATTCACAAGACACACCTATTTACGTAACTTGCAAACATTAAGTGCCTCATCAAGGCCATTGTTATTCATTTTGCTTTTGTGCGACGGATAAAAGAATAGTACAACGGTACATACACGGGTAGCGGTCACGTGTTGATTCATTGATCGCTAGTTCAACAGCACACCATTTTTTTGTCGTCCACGGTTACAGCCAACCAGATCGCTAAGAATTCAGATATCAATCCAAGAACTTTAGAAGAAAAATAATTTGGCTCAACTGGCTTGAAAAAAAACGAAGGGCAAAAGCTGACTCAACAAAGGGACCAATCAATGATACCGTTTCACCGAAATGGATTTCAACTAAAGAAAGTAATACTAGCACCCGAATCCTTTTTAAATCACTTCACAATAATTTTGCATATTGCATGGGATCTCAGTCGAGTAGAGAGCAACAGCACTTATTGGTCAGCCCAACTTGTTCACAAGACGTAGCAGGAACCAAACCTCGTCATCCTGTTCAAATATCCCATCCCATATATACTGGAATTGCCAGCGCGAACAAGAGGCGTGCTCGGGAAATGCACTAATGACCAAGAACTACGGTAAGAAAGAAATACAGTGCACTTAAACTGCCACATACGCTATTTCTTCCACCTTGAACCGAAGCTTCTAACACTATTGAAGTCTTCTGATTACCATTAGTGACCAGAAATCTCCAAGTCTGCGTTGATGGCTGCCCTAAAACACTGACGATAAGAATGAGGCGACGCAGTTTGACATAAGATTTTAGGTATGAAAAAGTCAGAAAATATCACCCGAATCTCTCACGATGAGACGCTATCACATAATCTGTACTTAAAATCACAAATGATGCTCTACTGATGTTAATCAGACTGATGTACGAAAGCGAAGTGAAAACTCCGAACCACCGACTGAATTTGCACTAGAAACCTTTAACGCTAAGGTGACGCAGTGATGAATGGCCATAAGTTCGGGTGATCCAAGAACTCCAAACTAGGCCAATGACTTGCCGACATATGTTTAAAGTAGTATAGTATGATATTATATATATATATGTATATATATATATATATATAATATCAGTGGTTATTCCAAGGAATCCCCTGTGACTTGCTTTATGGTTCGAGCACCTTATCTACTTAGTGATGTAAGGGTTCCCGACTGGACAAAACCACATACCAAGGGAGCAAGCACCCTCCTGAACTTTGTGCACAAAAGAGATACCGGAAACCATTGTTTTGGAGTTCTAGAGCTGCTTAGTTCACTCTGGCAACTAATATCCACCAATTTTCATCTTCCGCTGCCAAAGCAGCTGGATGTGAGAAGACGAATGAACAACGAAAGTCCCCATTTTCCATCACGGATTACCTTTAAAATAACGTACTGATTTTCATTACACTTGAGCCGACAAAAAGAGAGAAATTTCAAACAATACGTCCACGCGCACTGTGACAATAGGGTTTACCACAATGAAACTCTGATCAACGCAATGCGCTTTGCCATCACTGTCACGTGCTTCCAGGCCCTGTACAACCAATCAATATCAATGTCCGAAAAACATACCGCGTCCAATGCTATTACGACCACCCGTTAGGTTTACACTTTTACGCCTTGTGTCAACTCAGGATCTCGAAACCTCGAACGAACCAACCAAACCCACATAAACATTGATTAGACAATAACATTTTCGATCAAGGAATTGTGGAAGGCTATTACGGCCCGAATTAGTTCGGTGATGAATTCACTTGAAACACATTCTATAAACGCGGAGATTGCCTTGGGTAAGCGGTGATGCGCATAAAATTCAAATCCTCATTAGAGCCACAAATGAAAAGAATCCGCGTCACTAAGTGGGAAACTGCTGTCGACTTGCTCTGTGCGGGGAAAAGTCAACTACAATTAATTACGAGGTCGCTACCATCCATAACCTACGCTCAATGGTAAGGTACGCACCGAGTCTCCGTTTCACCGACAGAGTCCGCATAAGTTATGCAACCTCAATCGATCAACATCGATTTTCAGGTTGGAAACCTATTAGCCCCATTGCACACTGAAGGTTTCCAACTAAGCTGAAGGGAAATCGACACACTCAGAATCGAAACAAACGATCTTCAGTACGATGCGCCCTCTCCTCCGTATTTCTAACACATCGATGGTACGGACATGCCCATTTCGGGTACAGTCAACCTAAAATAAAACCCGGGGATTCGGGTCATTAGACAAGTTGGTCATCACACAAACGGTGTACAAAGATCCAAGTGTAAGATCGGTTGAGAATGCAACCACTGTAGAAGAGTCATCAGACCTAACGTCGCATTGCAGCGACCTACAGAAACCCACACAAATCTGTTCCGTTGAGCCGTCTGATTGTCTAACTTTGTAATACGATCGGACAATGCATGAACCTAAGCGGCTGTTTGAAACGCACTAGCCATAACGAAAGTGCATAGAATTGTGGACATCGACAGTGTTTCAGGCGATCCGAACAAATACTTGGACCAGATGAATGGGTATCGTGATCAAATCGTTCAGCTGTAGCACCCCTTTCGTGCCTAACTGCCATGCCACCCAAAGGAAGCACGAGGGCTGGGATACTGCCAGGTTACTCAAGCCTAGACAGGGGGAGTCGAGAGGCAGAGGTCGGGTTCGAACCACGGATCTTCCGGTCAGTAAATTCGCGTTCTAATCACTTGGGCCATCGTAATCAAAGAATAAGCAGAGAGAAAAACGGGATAAATCCTCTAAAAAGAACAGTAAAACATGCCGCAAGTTCAAAAAGTTCTATCGTAAATCACAACCTTGTTCAATACGAATTAACTGACTAAGCCGTCGCCATCAGTGCTTGGCTGTCTCCCGGCCTCCCGAGTCCCAGTGACCAGAAGTGTAGCCACTGGAGCAAAAGTACCCTTGGTTCATGGCCGTAAAAACTGAACCGACATTGTAAGTTATTTCCTCGAATTCACATCACGTATAGTTGAACTACCATTTTCGTGGCTCTCCCCCACGTTGACTTCAAAGCCTCGTGATACGAAGCAATATTTCCGCTTTGAGAGTAGACACACAGCTATCATGTAGTAGGAGTAACAATGATTACTTGGTTACTTTCTACTTACATTCCCATGCTTTGATTATTTTTTTTGGATTACGTGAAAAAATACCGAACTTTCACTTGTTATCGATTCCGAAAGTAGTATTTTGACCTTTCTCATATCTGGAGAAGAAAATGATCCACTTCTTGCAGCTTGGAGGCAAGAAAGCATTCGGAGGCAGTTGTAGTCGGACGTGAACAACACACCGAAAACTATACAAACCTCTCAGTAGAGGTTAAAACTCCATGTCACAGATAAGACGCGAAAGGAGCTGGAATAGTGCTGCATTTCTTCTCGGATCATGAGAGATCCAAAATATCATGAAAGGTAACAGGACATCGCTGGGGGATTAATGGAACAACCCTTTACTCAGAGTTCTAGTTAACGGTCAGAAGATGCGGTGGGCTGTACCCAGTTTTATGGGAAAGCACACAGTGATGCGGCTATAAATCGTGCCAAAGTCGGATGTTTCAACGTGTCTTGTTTACACAAAAGTGCCTAGAAGAAGTAAATAAGCTACCGATCTAGTGACGGTTTGTATGCTGCATTCCTATGGCCATCCTAGGGGGTGCAAACAGATCGTGCAGCTTACCAGCGAAACAAAGACATGAGTGAAAGATCAGTCAATAAAGGTGAAAAGTTGCACGTACTGATTTGTATGGATCGTAGATACAGCTGTTCAGCATCCTTGAACCGATCCATATCGTAGTTGTACAAACTGGCCAGATGACCGACGCTCAGACCAACCTCAAAGTCTGAGCTGCCAAGCAGACGCTCTTTTATCATGATCGCCTTGCGATGCATCATTTCCGCCTCCTGGATCACGAACAAATATATGAATACAACGAAATTACACTGGGGACAGAAGTGTACAGTGAGACAACATACATGAATCCTGTGTGCGAATATACCACCAAGCAGTAAAGCTTCGGATCTCATACCGAAGTTTCATTGTAGGCTACAAGTAAACCAATTGTAGCATTAAACGAGAATCATTCGGCTGTGACACCTTTCCAGTGTCTGCATGCCACCCCCTCTCGAACTAGGCATGAGGGCTGGGCTACTGCCAGGTTGTCCAAGCTTAGATAAGAGCAGTCGGTATGCAGAGGTTGGGCTCGAACCACGGACCTTTTGGTCAGGAAATTCGTAGAAAATCACTGAGCTACCTCGAGCTCAATTGGAGGATTAACTCGGCATGTGTCGGCAAACCAAAGCACAACTGGGCATTTATCGGGTGATAATAAATAAATAAATAATAATAATCGTTCAGCTGTAACACCCTTTCGGTGCCTAGCACGAGGGATACTGGGATACTGCCAGGTTGCCCAAACCTAGACAGGGGAAGTCAAGAGGCAGAGGTGGGGTTCGAAGCACGGACCCCCCGGTCAGTAAATTCGCGCTCTAACCACTGAGCCATCTCGGGTGAGTGAAACCTTGACTCCTTTTTGTGGTAGACTAAAGAAAGCAAGAAAGCACGATAAGATATCCATTCATTCTCAGTGAAAAGGCGACCAAATTTCCCATCTTAAATGTAACTAGCGCACGAGGTGATCCAAAGTCGTAGATAAGCCGTGAGGTGAGAGTGTAATGATGAAATAATTTCTAAACAGTAACCATGGTAATGCATACGGTTGGAAGTGTAGCCTGTTACACCGCTTTGTTTGACAGACAGAAGTGTGAAGCTCAAAATATGCGGACTGATGAAAGGGACCGACATCAAAGTGCACTTGCGACAACGTGATTAGATTCATCAGAATAAATTTACGACGCCGCTTAAAAAGAACATTCTTCTTGCGCAGACCAGGGACAATATAAAAGTGTAGGAGAGTTTGAGCCGACGCCGGTTTCTGGTAACAAATCGAAGGTTCCTGGGCTATAAGGGAGATGCATCCGCAGAAAATTGACTGAGAGAAAAAAACTTCAACTGTGACCATATTTAGCGGTTGCGAATTCAGTTTTCTCACGGTTTCATGCCAGTTGTAGATAGTCAGCTGATCAAACACTTCGAAAGATAGATTGCCTGGTGTATTGTTCACACGTTATGCTGTGTTACAGGAAGGCGAGATGAAGACAGGGAGAAAGGAATTCGTGTAACGTTTACGTGTACTGGTAGACTTGAAATTCCGTATCCGATTTCGGTGGAACCAGTCCACATTGTTGATGCCTCAGTATTACTGTATGTTTCGACCAGCTGGGGAATCGCCTCGACAAACCATGCTTGTCAGACTATAGGCCTCAAAATAAAGTTATTAGTTCGGGAAGCAATAGGAAAAAGCTATACATCTCTGCGGTGAACTGCTGAAGGATAGCCGATAGATACACTGGAAACAGTTTTGTCTCCACAGCTATCAATGAGAATCGGGTATCTGCACGAGCATCATTTCTTGATTTGAGGCAATTCATGTGAAAGAACGGTGATTCCCAAGTCGCTGCAGTTGTCGCTTCCTTTCGACTGGACTGCAGGTTGGAGCTTAGATAACAAACAGAGGCAGCATGGTGCTTTCAACAGAACCTGACCGATTCGCACATTGAAAATCCGGTGGGTCCAGAATGTCGAAAAATGGAAGGAGCGAAAAATACTGGAGATGTCTGCAGATTACTTCAACAGGTTCTCGGAAACGTCTTTTCAGTAAAAGACCACAACAAATATCTGACATCTGGCAGAGAAGAATGAACCGTTGGGCTGTCAGACAACAATTCAGTTGACCGACCGGCATCCAGTCATCTACCAGGAAAGCAGACTGTGACTACGAAACACTCTTCAGTCTCAAGAGTGTACCGTAATCACCCTAGGGGTGTCAGTCTGGCTATTCTTATTTGTCCCGTGAGCACCGCGCAGCATTTGGATGAGCGAATTGACCACATCTTCACACTCCGCAGGATGACGGAGTAGTGCCAGGTGTACAGATGATCCACACACTTGGTATTCCTTGACTTCAAGAACGGGTTCAATTCCATCAACCGGTCAGTTCTTCAGAACGTTGCCAGAACTCCACGACCTCATTTAGGGATTTGTCACGGCATGCAAACTACTGGACAGGAGTTACTGTTTTCCTCATGTGTTCCCGGACTACTAAAGAGAAACAACAACCTCTTTGCACGGTCACTGATATGTTTTCAGATTAACTGAAAACCAAGGGGATCACTAAATATTCCGGGGGCCAGGATGCAAGGTGGTGCTGAGGACTTAGTCGTATGCCTGAGACTCTCAGTCCCTACCAAGGTTGAGCAACCCCAAACGGCAACCTCCCGTAACTCCATTCTCACCTATATGGCTTGAAAGAAAGAAAGCGTTCAGTTGTAGCACCCTTCCGGTGCCTAGCTGCCATGCCACCCGAAGGAAGCACGAGGGCTGGGATACTGCCAGGTTGCCCAAGCCTAGACAGGGGAAGCGAGTGGCGGAGGTCGGCTTCGAACCACGGACCTTCCGGTCAGTAAATTCGCGCTCTAACCACTTGGGCCATTTCGCAGTGACGAAAGTAGTGTTTTGGGTATATGAAGCTATACTTCTGCACACCTAATCCTTTTCAAGGTTCCAATATACCCCTCTAGTCAGTTACTACCGTCATCTATATGTATGATGAAAGACCAGTTGGATACCAGCGCGATGGAATGACTCATGGGGTTAAATGACGAAATGATATCAGGTTGAACGAAAAATTCATGAATTTAGAAATACAGTGGGCATGACGGAAAAGTGCTGTGCCAGAATTAATGTGAATGCATGACCTCGGTGAGGGGTGGGAGCAGTACAGTACATTATCGAACTATCAGATGAGCTTGTGATGCACTTATGTGGATGTCACATGCTGTGCATGCAGTAAGCATTGGAGGCTATCGATTAGAGCGTTACGATCTCACAATCCTTCATAATAATAAAGATACTCTTTAGAAGGAATGAGGAAAGTGTGCAAAAAAAGCAATTGGAACCCTACAATTCAACAGATCAACGTCGAATTAATTAATATTATGACCAGATTTTGTCAAACGTCCGGTCGAAGAGCTACAGATATGCGGTCTTGTTAATAAGACTCCATGTTACAATACAGAGACAAGTAGACTTAAAGAACTACAACAGATGTGTCAGCTGATTCAAAATACTGTCCGAAGTTAACGAGATCTGCAGGTATCAGTTAGCTGATTCCATAGGATGATGTCGGCTGTCACTCATGAACAGTGCAAATGACCATCATCATTGTATTGAAAAACACTCATCTTGGCACATTATCTGCTGGATCACACGTTGCCATGGCAGTTACACCAAAACTGGACCGGTTCTTCGTCCCATGTAGTGAAACCGTCAACCAACAGGAGGAAACCAAGGACGGTAATTACGACCGCCATTGACGAGCTCCTGTATGATTCTTCCGGAGAACTAACTTCAAACCAGTACAAGCCAGAAGAAGGACTGCTTAGAAGAGAGGGTGGGGTCATACGATTCTTACGGCCAATTCTTTTGTTTACATTGAATGTCAACATCGCTCTGCGACCGTTAGTATAGCCTTCGGGGCCAGTGGCAAATAAGTTCCATATGTACGGAGATTTTTCCTACGGCACGCTATGCCCCCCACACCTAATTAACCAGCCAGAATGGTGTCTTCGGCGTCCCCTGTTCGTTGACTGTGCAGAGTGTGTATCAAGCGGAAACACACGGACGTCACCACTGCAAACTTCGGCTGGCGGACCCGATTACGACCATGTGGGATACAGACGACTGTTAGCCAGGTAGACAGAAGCATGAAAACAACTTTTTGACTACAAACCACCTGAGTGACAGCTACTGTGTTTTTTCGTTCCATACTTTATGGATCTGGGTTTTCCAATTCACGATTATCCAAATCCCCTTCTGTTCCACACCAGTTGGTGTATGTAGACGATATAAGCGTCTGATCCATTTTTAAGATGACTCAAACAAGCTGTTTACCCATTAGGTAGCGTTGAGACGAATAGCAGGTGTGACGGTTCTCAGACGTTGACGGTAGCCCAATTAGTAGAACTCCCGTTGGGCAAGGGGGGAATTTGGTTGTTTGTGTGCATCTCCAGGAGTGTCATTTCGTCCGCGTTCGATTTTATTCCTCATCAAGAACGGATAACTAAGATAATTAGAACGGGTTACGTAAAATAAGTTGAACGGAGCGGATGTTTTTGAAACGACAGCATGGGTTGCCGAGGTGTGTTCAGTCATCTGTTTGGAGACATCAGCCCGACGAGTATCATTCACATCATTCTTGATTCTTTGCTATTTGCTCCGGGCTCAGCACACATCACACTTGGAAGTCAAGCGGTTACCGAGTTATGAGCTGGACAACGACCTTACTGCCCCAACTACATGGCCCTCACAGTAAAATGGTTGAACTAAGAGACCATGCGCCGCATCTCGCTGATATGGTTTCCCGTCTGAAAAACGGATGCAAACGTGGTTGGTATCCTATGGGATGCAAGTAGACTGTTCCAAATTTCTTGGGTTGAGGTTGAATAAGAGCTAGTGTGGACGGTCCCAATAGGGTTTCAGACACCAAACGGTTCGAACACCAGCATCTGACGATAGAATAAGCTCATATCCGAGCGCAGGGTAGTGCTTGATAATTGCCTTGTGTCACGGCGACTCTGATTGGCAGCCACTGCCTAGCTGTTAACTTGCACTTTATACGCACAATAAACATACTGGAGTTATGTACAAATTTATGTTCCCTTTTGAGACAGGGGGCAAGTGGCCGGCGAAAATCGGTCTCTCATGTGTCGTTTCTAACCAGGAATAGGTTTGCTACTAATTTGTCATTTCTGAAGCTTCTCCGTTTTGTTCTACTTACTCTGGACACAACCAACTTTTCAAGGCTGACTGAGTGCAAACTCCTCTACGTGGTAAACGGCGTCCATTGCTGTTCTGACGTTGAAATTCGGTTCGGGTCGGTCCAATGCATCTTTACCATTGCTCCCTCTGAGTTCCTAGCAGTCACCCACTAACTAAGCCAGTAGATTGCGTAACTTACCCATTATGTCTTAGCTAGTAAGTAGAAACTTGTCGCAACATCGCCATCGAAGCTATTCTGCTTGGTTTAACAACCAAACGCGTTTAAGGTGTCTAGAATTCTAGCCGGATCGACCCATTGGTCTCCAGTTAAACATGTGTAACAACTAAGCTCGTCAAAACGGATAAACACGAAATAACTTTATATCTGTAAGAGATTAATTATATCGGTGGTCATGAACATACACGTATTTGCATTACTGATAACAAAAAACAACCATCTTACCTTGTTGTCCTGCATAGACTGGTACAATCGACCAAGATTGCCAAAGTGTTTCGCCGTCTGCACGTTCCACAGGCCGAATGTCTGAGCAGGATGAACAAGTTGGCAGAAGTGAGTAGTAGTGTGCGTGCGGCCCTTGATTATCATTCTATTAAACAGCGCTATAAACAGCCTCAAACGCGACGAAAAACCCCACGACAACAGTCCTAAGAGCTGCGGATTAAAGCTCAAGGCTAGTTCACTTCGAAAACAACGACGACTTTGTAACGCTAAAGTTCATTACAGTTAGGACGAGAGAAAGTGATTGAAATCATGAATTCTAAACAGCCTTGACGGTGCAACATCTCAGGTCACTTCTGAGCCAGCAGGGCAACAAACTTATTCAGAACACAACAGGCTTATACGGTTGTTTGTAACATTTTTGTGGATGGTTAAGAGAGCATGAAGTAGTGGCGCTATCAGCTAATTAGTAGCCTATTGAAATTAGGTCGATTTCCAATCCGTTTGATAGATCCACGCGTCCTGAGGACCCACTGGGACTTCCGATCCACAGTATCTTGACCTCGATACGGTTTTCCCAGTAAACCAATATGCCAACAGTAGATTTGACCACAGCTTCTATCGTGTGAAGCAAATAAGACTTAGGAGCACTGGATAGCTGTTTCAGTTTTATTCGGAATCGACACTGATGCATTTGCCTCAGCATTCTAGAGAAAGCGTCAAGTTCAAAGCTTTCCAGATACCAAGTGAACACTTGACTAATCATCTACGGTTGGAAGCAGTGAGAACTCTCAGAGAGAGTGCAGATTCACTAATCCCTCAACCACGCAGTTTCAGTTCACTTGCTCAAATGATCCTCAGAGGGATCCGTAAGACTTTGATGTTTTCGTTTCACAGAAGATTAAAAATCCTCCCTTAGTGGAAAGAATACTCAAACGGATCTACCAAAGGTAACGCCTCCTTCGTGAGGGAATACTAATAAGCATCACTGGTGTAAAAAAGGGCATCGGGACTGCTCAACCATGAATCATATTTCATGAAGTCCTCAATTCAACTATCACTATACGCTAACTTGACAATCTATCCCCAGAAGAGTCTCAACTAGCCGGAACTACCGACAACACATACGAACAATGGTATATCTAGCAAACCGTTTTCACAAGCTCTTGAAGGCTTAAGAGTTATAACACAAGAATACCTTCAGAACGAAAAATAGGAATGAATTTGATGACACAAAAACCACCATGCCTGTAGAAGAACGATCTGAAGTGTTACCCAACTGCATACAGCAGCATACATCTTTCTCAGGGACTGCGGCCCCTCATTGTGAACAAGATCTACTTAGTTTTTGATAATATTCCTACCAAGGACAACGTTCCACACCGACACAATTGGTCCTCGAAAGAAAGGTCGGCAACCAATGATTCACAATAACGTCCGTCCAGAACACTATCACGTGATTTCCACTGGTGAGAAACTGTTGAAATTTTGGCCCTGTTGAGTCAAAGCATCTGATACAGCTCCTATTTGAATTGCAGTGGGTTACTGCGCCACCTACTTAGACGGCATCATGCAATTTGGCAAGCTCATATAGTCCGTAACACAGAAAACGGAATATCTTTGAAGGTAGGCGGTACGACACACATTTCTACCATAACGTCAGTCGTAAAACAACCGGCACCATGTGGAAGAACAACCATAGTGAAACTATATTTTCAACCCACTTTCTTCTCCCACTTTCGAGTGACAAATATTGTGTAACAAGCATCTCTTCTGACACCACGCAGGTACAATCTAATGATATATTAGATGATTCTGACGTTTTTTCATGTGAGTATCATGAACGTAAACAATACAGTTCACAAACGGAACTGTGTGGCTATAGAACCGACAATTTTGACAAGCGCAAAAGCAAACAGCCCCTTTGGCCTTTCAAAATTGTACTGACTAGTTTAGCGGATAACAAAGAAATGACTCAATGGAGTAAATAAAACACATTAATTTAAATAAGAGAATAAATGAATAAATGAGAGTGAATGAATGAATTAATGAATGCATGATTGATTGATTGATTGATTGAATGAATGAATGAATGAATGAATGAATGAATGAATGAATGAATGAATGAATGAATGAATGCTACTGAACGCGCACTCGGTTTCTGGCACCGTCATGCGCAGGTTGGGTTTACAAGACTAAGAGCACGAAACTCGACAGTGAGTCATGCTAAAATTTACAATCATACCATCATCCATCTCGTACGCACTTATCGGGTCATTCCTTGCTAGCCTCCCTTTCAGTCCAAGCTGGGTTCACAAAGGTACTCCGCTACGTTAGTTTTGGCGTAGACCAAAACAACTTCTCTGGTGAAATACAGGTTTTGAATTGTAGCAGTCCCATGTAATCGATTTTATTGCCCACAAACGCCAGCAACTACAGGGAAATAACGATTCACGTTGACATTACTCTTGTGTGAACAGTCGTCCTCCTATTCGAGAGCAATTATTGTGGGAATTTCACGCCAAAGAAGGGAAGCAGTGGACTCGAGTTTCGCTCCTTTTAAAGCCCATCGACAGTGCATATACAAAGGTATACCGGAGTCTGAAATCGGGACATCTGAAATGTGAGTAAGTTGCCACTACTCAACCAGTGCACGCTGGACACCCAAATTTTCAAGTCCGAACAGGCGAGCGTGTTCGCGTTTGAGCGACGTATACGGTTTGCCCGACGTCTCGAACGACAACCCAGTAGCTGTCAGATAGTGTCGATCGATTTGGTCTAGCTGTCAGGGCATCCCAATAAGGTAGAGCCGCGGACGCCTTGAAGCTGGGTGGGTAGCTTTTGATTGGATGTAGGAGGTTGCGGGACTTATGAAATTCACATTCACAATAAACGTAAACAATAAACGAGGAATATTACCTGACTGTGTTTCGCGGCCATACGGTGGTATAGTGACTATTATCGTACCTTAGACGTCTCCCAAAAGAAAGAAATAGAAATCGTTCAGCTGTAGCACCCTTTTCGTGCCTAACTGCCATGCCACCTGAAGGTTGCACGAGGATTGGGATACTGCCAGGTTGTCCAAGCCTAGGCAGAGGAAGTCGAGGGGCAGAGGTCGGTTTTGAACCACGGACCTTCCGGTCAGTAAATTCGTGCTCTAACCACTTGGACCATCTCGCCCAACCATCTCCCAGCCATGGATTGATAGAAATACACTCGAAAGGGTTCTAGGTAGCGAAAATGCTCAATCCTAACCCAACCCACTGGCAACAAACGCGGTAACTCTGCTAATCAGTGGTCTACATCACCTTCGAGTTTGATTTTTGTGTGCAGTAAAACTGTTTTGTTTTTCCGGGACTTCAGAACATTGCGCACGCAACATATGGAAGCTGACGTTCCAGAGTACACTGCGTTTTGCGACACTGACCTCACTGCCGGTCCGCACTGAACAAGTTGGTTGGTGTCAGTTATACGCTTTGTAGGTCAGACAAGGGGCAAACCCACCGTGCCATGGGACTTGGTGAGAGTCCCGGTTTGAAAGGAATACGAAGCACTTGAAGAAGACATGATAAAGCAATCACCACGAGTCTCAGCTGCTTTGGTACAGGATATACGTATTCAACAAACCCGACACAATAGGCAAAAGGGCGAGATGGCCCAAGTGGTTAGGGCGCGAATTTACTGACCAAAAGGTCCGTGGTTCAAACCCGACCTCTGCCCCTCGACTTCCCCTGTCTAGGCTTGGGCAACCTGGCAGTATCCCAGCCCTCGTGCTTCCTTTGGGTGGCATGGCAGTTAGGCACCAAAATGGTGTGCTACAGCTGAACGACTTTACGATTTACAATAGGTAGCGTCAGTGATGCTATGATTCGCTCATTCGGTTACCTTCATTCATCATATCTATCCCAGGTTCGCAACTACGAAAAGGTTTGCTTCCTCTTCCGCTCAAAGAGATCTCAGAAACCGCATGTGTTCACCGATTTGTCAGAAATGTGCCTTATCAAACGAACACATTATGACATCTGGGAAACTGCAGCAATTGGAAACACAATCAAATGTCCGACGAGAACAATTAGAATTGCATTTCTGCAATAACTGTGTTGATATGACGAGAATCAGAAAGAGGACTCAGTTTCAGCATCATGACGAAGGACCCGCAACACCAAACAACAACGGACTAGCTTACCCGTTCGCACAGATTCAGCGACTCCATGTGTAGGTCTCTGGCAAGGCACAGAAACTCTTTGGTTCGTTCCAAATCATTATCGTCGATTGCTATCTCTTCAATAATCAGGGCTGGATAGAACAGGAAAAAATTGAAAACCTGAGAGAAAACCACAGAAAGAAGCCGACCGAATGTGCAATGACAATAGACGTGCCGATGACTTGAGCGCAGAAGGCTGGGGAATCGACAGCGAAAATAGGACAGTAGGCATAGAAACAAGATAATTAGAAACAGGGTAGCATAATAAACACACGCCTGAGAAAACAGAGCAGTATGACGTGGAATTGTTGATCAATGTGTACGGTGTTGACTAAGAGAAAAAGCCAAGTGAAAATCGCAGGCGATCTATACCTCCCTAGTCTTAAAAAACACTATGTCAAATGGCTGCGTTTCGACCAGTTTGATTAAGGTCGTTTTTATCAGGCAATACCATACTCCGCGAAGGAATGGCAGCGAAGCGCGACCGGGTAATTAGAACCTGAGAGACAAGCGGTGTGCATAAGATGAGGATGGATGGATGCGGAAGCACTAGACCACCATAAATACTCCACAAACCTTTGACTCGATTGGCCGAGGCGGCTTGCATAGAGACTTCATGATTCAAGTGCCGTAACATGAGCCCAACCACTTCTGAACAATTGAGTGCGTAGCTGAAATCACCGGAGGTGTACTCAAGTACGTAGTGTGCGTAGGCGATAGCCTCTAAGGCCAGAGCAGCCATAATACTCACGCCAGGCAGGCTGTTGAGAATGAGCGCCAAACCAACCTATGAGGAGATAAAGGAAACAGAAAAAGAATCAAGTAGAATGATGTATTCATTATCATGCCTACTAACAACGAACCCAACGTTGAGCACCGTAAACTGACTGCCGTGAAATGATAGAAAGCATTTTATGAAGGTTCAGCTACAAAAAAGAGGATAAAAAACAGGATGGGGTTAAATGCTAACAAAGCATGCCTAAGCCGATATGGCAGTAAACTCATCCATCGCAAGTGGGGGGACGCGGAGCTCATACTAAGAAATCAGTCTGATTAAGGGTACTATTACTTGATGTTAACGCAAGCCTACCAAGTCAACGTCGTTTTATTTTAGCCACGCTGAATCCAGTATGGAGAAAAGCATCCATTTTTAGCAAATAACAACCCAGTATGCCACCACAGTTTTGGTGGGGAGTACAGTCCTTTATTCCATTGTTCACTGCTACAAAACAAGTGGGATCCCGGACCTACACAAAACTCGCTACCTGTGGAAAAATCCCATGGGAAAGCGTCGTCCTTTGAAAGAAACCGTACAAAGTATGCTACCGTCTTCGACAGATAATACGTAATAGTGATGATCGTTCAGCTGTAACATCCTTTCAATTCACAGCTGCCACGACACCCAAAAAAGTATGAGGGTTGAGTTACTGCAAGGGTGCAATCGAGATGTAAATGATAGGCTCGAACCTTCTGGTCAGTGAGTTCGCACTTTAGCAACTCAGCTACCTCGCGCGCTTTTCGACAGATACACAGATACAATTGCCTATCACATGAATTCCAGCCGAATGTCTCGTTTTTGATAGTCTGCTGCCGCTGCTAGTACTACTGTCTATGATCAAAAGTGCATCAGCTGGACTTAGTTGCCTTGACCAAGACCCGTAGTCTTGACGCTGCGGTGGGACCTGAATACTGCAATGATCCAGCGAGCTGTAATAAGGGACTTCCATCGTCACGGTTGACATTTCCAGAGAAATTAGACAGCAGTAGCCAGAGAAACAACATCTGACCCCCTTACCGCAAATTATCGTATTGCGCAGAGATCTCGAGGTGTACTCATACTGTTCTTTTTGGATAAAAAGAAACTATGAAAACAAACAAAAAAAACAGAGAAAGCCAGCAATTCCCATCTCTTAATCTGAAAAAAACGAGCGAGAAAGGATCGGAAAAAAAGTACAAAACTCGATTTTCCAACGGCTGATCATGATTGCTGACAAATCACCAGTGCGGTCAAAAGCCCTTGGTACACGCCAACCCCCAGCCAAGTGGATTAGGGTAGTGACTCAGTGGCCTGAGCAGGGTTACCTGGAAATTCTAACATATACCGCTGGTCAAACTACTAAATCAAAGTCTTTTGGACGGAATCATGAGCAAAATCTAAATTATCCAACAGCCTTCTGGGCCATATGCTCTTGAGCCAAAGATCTGAGATGGAGTACCTTTAAAAAATCTGCTTTTCGGTTTGGCTAATACCCGCCCATGTAGTGGATAAACAGCCATTGGTATCCCAGATTTATCAACTCCTACACTTCTCCAACATCAATACAACCTTGTTTGCTTCCAAAGCTATAAATTAGGCACCCGTTTGTAGTCCCTCACATACAACAAAAACTAAGCGAGCGCTAGTAAGATCCGGGGAGCTGTTTAACATCGAAGTATTTAATAGCTACACCTCTGAAAACAGATAGACAGACATAGCTTATTCAAACCCACTATTCCTTAAAAATCTACGTGTTGTCTCCAAAAAGCCCACATACAAAATGTCATTATAACGTTGCACATCAACGCCGTCCAGATTCTTCTCTCTACTCTTCGAGTGTCGCGTGGGACCGGCGCCCCATGATCTCGGTGTGTTGAGGGCGGGGGTATCATTCAACTATAGCATCCTTTCGGTGCCTAACTGCCACGCCACCCGAAGGAAGTATGAGGGCTGGGATACTGCCAGGTTGCCCAAGCTTAGACGGGGGAATTAAAGGGGCAGAGGTCGGATTCAAACCAGGACATTCCGGTCAGTAAATTCGCGCTTTAACCAATAAACCATCTCGCGGGAGCACTGGTCGGATTGGATTCTTGTTAACAGCCGACTAGAAGTTTGGAACACTTTCCTCATCTCTGCATATGCTTCAAAAAATGGAGCAACAACACTGAGGAAAGCACTTCTTGAGAACTTTGGGGAGTTCACCGGAGGGCAAAATTTACGAACGACAGCATTTGTGCCAGTGCTTCCAGCGCTCCAGTGCAAACGAAAGCCATCTCACAAGCGTATTTGGTTTAGACAAGGTATTCGCTTCACACAGATGGATATTTGTCACCACTGCGGGCAAAATTTTGGCAGAAACGTGAGCGATGGGTTGCCTAGCGCCCTCCAAACCGTAGCTATTCGAACGCTCACATCAACCACATAGGAACTAGATGCAGAAATGGATGCTGCTTCTTTCAGAATACTTGCACAAACCGGATAATGGACTGGTTCACTTACGTGTTGCGACCCGACTGGTACAAGACAGACCCATGCTAATACCCTTGCGTACTACCCGAGGCGTAGAACTTCTTGCCGATGAAGATCTTGAAGACCTTTTGTATACAGATAATGTCACACCACTTGGTACCAACTCCATCCGGATATAATGTATATTAAACAAACTGGATACTGTTGCCGTGTGACTTGGTATGCCCTTCGCACCTTCAAAGAGCAAAGTGCAATTAAATCGGAAAACTAGAGGTAGCAGAGAAATTAACTCATCTGGGGAGTCGCATCACGATGGGTGACAACAAAGTCGATCAAAGTAACTGACAAAATAACCCAAGCCGTTTTTATTTTCGTTCATCTGGGAAACTTGTGGGGTCTGTCAGCTAAAGATAAAGAGTACAACGTGGCAGTGCACCCACTGCTACCGTACGGCAGTGAAGCCTGGCCACTGGCGCTGAAGACATGAGAATACTTGTTTTACCATCGGTGCCTTCGAGGTATCGTACGTTCATCCGATTAACCATGTGCCTCCTATTGGAGGCAGTCGAATGCCTCGTGATGTTTCACTTACTGAGGTATGTTCTTACGGGGGGATACGTATCACCTAAGGGTCGTGCACGTCATTACAGAGGCAGGCGTATTAAGAACTCACAAGATCAATAGTTGAGGGTACGCACCAACACGGCGGTGGAACTGTTTTACCTGCTCTCTTTCACTCAGTTAAAAGGCCGCTAATTTGTTGTCTTTACTGGTTCCCTGGATCCCCAACCACTCCCTCACTTCATCGTACACTATCCACTGACATACAGCGACGACTCCAAACTACCGTACACGATCTGAACAATGTGAGTGAAAAGGGTGGAGCCCGACTACGTTCACTCACTCGATAGACTCTTGCTGCTTTCCTTGTCTTGTCTGTGTTCAACATTAAACAGCCGTATTCCAGAAGTAGGTTAGCGTACACCAACGTATGAATGCCAAAGTAATGTCTGCAAATGAGAAAGGCATTATGCGAATTACTAGACTATGAACAAAAGACAGACATACCGACAAGAGAATAGACAGAGACAGGGAACAAACCATTTAGAAAGTTAAAAACATCTACAGTATCCCGTGTACGCAGTGATTATAGCAGTAGTAAAACTTCTGCGTAACTCTCTAGTATGGCCACTGGAACGATTGGTAGAACGTTTATCAGGGAATACACCGAATAAAGGATGTGAAAAAAGGGGAGCAAAATTATTACAGAAAGAGTGACTAAGTGAACGGAACAAATACTGTCATCGCTGTGACACATCATTGGCTGTTGGTAGTGTGAGGAGAACTGCGATTTTTGTGGAGATTTCGTCCTGTAAGTGAAGCACTCAGACGACATGGCTCTTCTTGGATCTGACGTCACTGTAGTGCAGATAACCGTAAATGATGTAAATAATCCTGCTTCATGGTTTGGGATGCGCTTCAGACCTGCAGCTTCAAGACCAGGTGGGTTCGAACCTATACCTCATGCTTCCGGATGAGCTGATCGAAGTACCAGACAAATTCTCTACCTAGATAGTTGTACCAATTTAGCTAAAGACGATATTTCCATTCGGCAGAAATAATTCGCCCACGAGAAGCGAACCGATCACACCTCAGAAGTTGCGCTGGCTTGGTCAAGTCCTCCATGTGCCGGCCGACTTTCTAAGACAATCACTTTCGCACAACCGGGTGGAGATAGAAAACAGGCGGGGGAAGGTCCAACAATGATTTCACACAAATATGAAAGCCATTACCAGGAAAAACTGGTCACCGCTGTCCCCCTATGCGGGGACCCCGAAACCGAACATGTAAATGGTTAGACACGTTGACAGAGATCTCCCTGTCGCGCGCATGCATCCAGGCCGTTACCTCCAGTTCACAAATTCAACTCCCAATTTCCCCAATGAAACGTTCACTGCCACTTATGAATTCACGTTCCAATTATATCAGCTACCGCTTCCAGTGTGCAGGTATCTATCCCACCTCTCCAAATCATCGGCGAACGAAACCGTGGCAGCTATAACCCCAGCACAATATGTACGCTGTTTATAGCTGAAAATGATGTATGCTATCATAGTTCCAGTGACCTGATATAATTGTGGATACGCGGAAAAATCATTCCACCTTTGGGGTCAGAAGTTTGTGTGTCCATTGGTGAACGATTTCGGTTGTCCCTGAGTACGTTTGCTCTTGGAATGAAACACAGTATATAACTGTGTTGGTGGTGTTTTGAGAATAGGGGCAAAACGACGTGCATTCGGATGCTTTGTTCTTCAGCCGTTTGCAATTCGCTTATGCAGAACCATGCAGATAAATGCACTTATATCATAAGTAATTGACCTAGTTAGGAGAAACGCGGTGGCTTGTATTGTTCCTGAAAATCAGCCAACAGAGACAAGCGAAGAAGTATGAATTTGGCGATCTCCGAAAGGGCCAAGATGGGCATAGTGAAACCATCGGTGTCAACCCACCACACCCCCTCACCGTAATCACAACATATGACTTGTTCGAAACGTAACATTCATCTCACCAAAAAGGAATGGGATAGTGTAGTAGAAAACTGCTATCGACGTAAGTCAAGGAAACAGAACGTGAAGCAATACGGGACATACAATAAATTCCTGCATGCACTTAATGAATGCTTGTCACAGGAAGACTGACCTAGTAACCAGTAGGGCATGGCGAATGATGCGCAGTCCGAGGTCGTATTTGCGCTTGATCATACAAATCTTGCACATGATACGCAGCAGTTCGATGATCACGTGAGCCGAAGATATCGCACCAACTTGGGAGCATGCCCGGAGCTGTTCGATTGCCAACAAAGTGAACTGGTAGGAAAGCTGGTATCTACACATTGCATAATAATAATTTGCAAGCTGAGCGAGGGCAAATGCGGCCGATACGGGTGGGTGAGGTTGGTCGCTCAATATTTCCGATACAGCGGCGGAGGAAGATGAGGAGGCATTGCGAAAGCAATTCTGAGAAAAGGCAGAGAAGAACAGGTGCGTTCAACCATCAGTGATCCAGAGGATCAAGGCAAAGCATCGCAAAATATGGTAGAATCTAACGATGCCCCATAAACGAGATACACCTATAAGAACTGAATCATGTCATTTCTGCGACGCGGCAGCACAAGTCCCAGGCAGACGATGAATCTGACGCTGACAAGCAAAAACTGGACCCACGTTGCAGAAAAAAACAGTCAACGCCAAGGGAAATAGCTGGGTTTACATTTGTGTTTAAGGTTGGTTAAGGTGTGGACCTACTGATTGGAAGGCTCGATAAAACTGAGTGAAGACAAGTCTCAACTCTATTGTGCTTCACATTGCCCCCAAAATGCTGCTAACCGTCGCAAAACTATCACTTGCAATTACGTACCGACTGATTCAAAAATGACACATTGTAGCGGGATACAGGTTGCTCTAATTGAGTGTGCGCCTTAATAGGCTTACAGCTTTCGTATGCGATTGAACAAGACAAGTTAAAATTGTCTGTGGGATGAGCTGAGCGATGCTACATAATCCTGCTCTCTCAGCCAACAGACCAGTAACTCACCAAACCGTCTAGAACACAGGATGACACTATCAAGTCAACCTGAACATTGTGACGGTACGTTCAAATTAAGACACCGATCGAGATGTACGTCACTGGAACCTAACCCAATCAGTCAGTCAGTCTATCAGTCATACATGCCAAGCGTACGTTTATTGTGGCTGCTATAGCCTCGGTCACCGGAAAATGGGACTGAGTGGGAGACGCGGTCAGGCACTGGAGGGGATGACGTAATCAGTTAGTTCGGGAAACTGGACAGTTACGCATTGAAGGCGATAGCTTTGATGCAGGAGCACTGCCGACTGCGTGGTAAATCATGTCTGCCCATGATATTCGACTACTATCGTACATGCTTGAATAACCTTAACTTTCCGTGGGTTGTGTCGTATATGTGCACTGACAGGGTACTGCAGCTAAACTATTTCAGTCGATTTTCGGTAACATCGCTAGATTCTAGAATGAGCATTTAGCTATCAGGGACAGTCAACTTTATCGACAGAAGTCAGTCCACTCACCGCGGGTAGAACCGGTGGAGGTAGGATGAAACCTTCCGGACTGGCTGAAGCTACCGCATCACCAGCTGGTCCAAGTTGGGGAGAAAAGGATGTCGATGACGACCTGGGAGGAACCGACAGATCCGCAAAAGACGCATCCGGTGATCGTGAAGACGAGCTCTTACGAGAGCTACCCATAACAGGACTGATGGAATATCCTTCTAAGCATGGAGGAAGAATGAGCTGGGATGCAGGAAGCTTGGTGTCCGGGCCGAATAACAACAGATTGGACTGTTTCATAGACTTAAGAAGGTTCGGGGCTTCTTTTTGAAAGACATATTGATCATCCGGATCCAGATACATATTGTAAGCGTTCATAGCACGTAGCATTCTTGAAAAAAGAAAACATCTGATTGTCAGCTAGACCATATTGGAGAGATACATTCATATCGCTCTGGTCAAAATTGCAAACAATAATAATAATAGTAGTAGTATGTTAAACATTATTGAAAAATCTCAAGTCGCCAACAATGGTGAGTCAAAAAGCTTAAGGATCGACTATCAGACGTTGAAGAAAAACGGTAAGTATTGGACAAGTAAAGTCGATTTCCAAATGAGGTTCTGCTTCCACCCACCCCATTGGACGCTCGCATCACCATAACAAATCCAAAAGCAATGATAGACTCTACCTCCCCAGAAGTTACAACAGTAGTGGCCAGCTTTTCACTTTAGCCTTCGGAGAACCATAAAAATGCCAGTTACTTCAATAGAAACCGAAGCACTTACACACAGAGAGCTTCACACTCCAAACGGAGCTGCGCCCGATGATGACCGCAAGCAGAGAAGAACTTTTTCACCGTCGAGTGTACCGCTCGAACCGCCCGGCAAGCGTGTACGTACTCTGAGCAATCACATAGAAAATTAGCGACCTTCAGGCCAAACAGAGTCGCACAGGTAACATCCGCTACAGTGCCCTGGTTCACACAACTAGCCTGCGACAGTAACTCGTTCATATTGGATAATAATTGCAGTGAAAGCTGATGAGGCGGCACAAGAGGGCACTGATCAGAATGTCTGTTGAGTATATTCGAACAGGAAGTCACTGAAAACAAAATGAATCAGATATGTAGTAAGAGGTTACTATAGACGACAGAAAGTCGGAATGTCGACAGAATGAACACAACGCGGTGCGTAAATATTAGGTCAACCTGTTTCTTTTGGGGGGAGGGATGGGGATGACTTCGCTAAGCCTTACACTGTTAAGCTGTTGTTGATCCAAACCTAAGTCCTGAGTGAAAACTTTGGCTTTGATGACTAGAATAGAAAATGAGAACTGATTAGGAAGTCACAAATGCTCACAGAAATTAACTGGCAATCTAAACCCGACAGGTTAACTGAGACGTTTTGGCAGTGAGAATGAGTGTGCTCGGTCGTATAAAGGAACAGGACGATCAATCAAATGAAAGCGCGGTGTGATGAACGGGAAGCATTGCGTACAGTCGTGCGCCATGCAGAGCACGGGCCCAAACCATATTAACCAGGTCGATTTAATCCGCCTCTCTAACGATTAGGAGACGTTAGCAAGAATTCCTTATGGATCACATTGTTCGTACTCGTTGCAGCTAGATTGCTCTTCCCTTGCTACGGACACATAAGAGATCAAAAGTCTGAAGACGCCTTGGATCCTCAGCTCAAAGGAGTCAAGGCTCACAACTGTAAAGAACGCTCTTACAGAAGCCTTATACACGCGGCCTTCGAATTTCAGCAAAATTCGTCCGCAACACCACAAATGATGCAAGTTGGTGGACGCTGCCCACGCCCTGAATATCAGCACATCGACTTCATCCGCTATAGTACTATCACCGCAAGTGCAACAACCAAGATATGTGGGCCAACCAACAAAGTCATTTGGATTCTCAGAGAGGCAAAACAGGACAGAATCCTGGAGTAATAATTTACAATCTGAAGGTGTAAAGCTGACGAATGGGACCACATCCGATGGCTTTCCTACAGTACTTTACACACACGTCAAACAACAAAGCGATGTCATCAGAATGATCCAATTTGATTAACCTCTCTCCGGACGCGATACCTAGATTTACGGAACTTCGGAATCTGCACTTTCTGATAATACCAATGACGAAAGTAAAAATAAATGCAGCGAAAAAAAGACAACCCTGACGAACTCTGCAAACTCCAGTCCGACTGGAGGTATGGAAATATAGGTTATTAATCAAGCTGACAGCATGAGCGCGTTGTCGTGCGGCGGTGCATCTCCGGCTGTGGTTATGGCACGGTCAGACTGAATGGACCGGTGCACATGAAAAGCGAGGTGCCCCCGTGCTTTGTTTTATAATATAAGTATTTTCGCGCAGCCTTCCACGGCCTGGACTCTGTATTAGTCGATGAATCACTAAGTTGAAAGGATGCTCAAGCTCCCGAAAGTTGTCCATAGAATGCATTACGAAAAAGATGGTTTTTATAGCACTAAGATGTCCTACCACTGCGGCTTCACAAAATCCAGACAAAGAACCCTCGGCCTAAAGTGAGGCAAAGGTATCAGGACAGTAGTTCCCCAGAAGAGAGCATCATGGAGGAAAGCGATATCTGGCCACTTATCTCCAGCTGTTTCCCTTTTTCGTCTTCTACGTTCCTTTTATTCGCTCTCCCCAGAATCGTACGATATTTGGGCACCAACCGAAATGCGGATTAGTCTATGTCATTTGGCTAATCAGGCTACCGTACGGAGTTAAACGACCGCAAGAAAGCAATCATCTTTGTACACAAAGAACCATACCTTGACCAGTTGGATCACAAATAGAAGAGAACTGCACATGTTGCATCCAGGAAATAACGAAGATCTGTATGTCTCTAAAAAGTTGGTGAAAAGCATAGTTAACAACTTACCTGCAAACTTCATACATGCGCTCAAAAATGTATGGATTCGAAAGAAAGTTGAACACCACTTGTAAGTCAAAGGGCACACTCTCACTAGTGCAGTGACGGTGAAAAAGTACGTGGCTCATCGGAAGCCAAAAAATAGAGAACATCTGAGTAGTCGCATGAACAAAGGTACAACTGACTTACTGTGCCAATCAACTTGCGGAACAAATGCGCAGGTAAACTCAACAACAAGTCTGTTGTCATATGAGGGGGCGCAGTCTTTGCTAGATTTATCAGACAAAGTGTTTGAAGGGAAGAATCTCGCTGAAGAACCATGCTTTGGAGTCGCCGCGAAATATCGTACGTATGTATAGTGCCATAAACCGTGTGCAAACGTCGCCGGCACTCAAAGTGATGTAACTGAAAGAATGTCTCGAGATCCAGAGGGGACTCGAAAGGCAGCAGGTGTGAAAAGAGGGGAAAACAACCATGCAGTCGATCGTGGAAAGTGGAGTCCCGCGGCACATTGTTAAATGCGATCTTTGTCAGGTAAACAATGGATGATGTGGTGCTGTCTTGTGACATTTTGTTGGGCCTGGAATGCCTCAAACAACGGTTGGAAAGATGTCACCATATATTACTTTAGTCTGCGTGATTTATGTCCAAACTTCACTTGCAAACACCAGAATCCGTTAGTGTGAAAATTCTACAAGGAAAGGAGAAAGCAACGGTTAACATACCGCAAAAAAACATTGTACAGCTCGTCGGAAGCATATGCAGGCAGAATGTCGGAACTATCCATCGTTTTCCACTGAATCAACCCAAAGAGATATTAGGAGAAGCTGGTCGAGATCGTTGCCGAAAAGAGAGAACTGGAGGTCTGGTTGCTTGCCTTCATATACGCCGTCGATAATTGCAAAGCCCATCGTATCCGACTTCGGAAGCAAAAGTGGACCGCCATCTGCGTAGACCATGTCGAAGAGGGTCCGCATTAGTAGCTTCGGTAAGTGGTGCCTGTAGGACTAGTTAATAATCCAGCAGGAGGTAGAGCCAACAGACAGCCATCATCATCATCACCATCATCGTATTCCAGGCAGTTTACATTTGGTACAGTAGTAATAACTGTCGCATGTTCGTTGTTGATTCAGTGGATAATAATAACAACCTATTGTTATTGGTACTTTATTAGTGTCTGAGTAAGCAGGAGAGGATAGCTGTGCACTGGATAGAGAAGCTGACGTGATTGAAGAGATAATCCAGGAATGGCAGTGGAAGTTTGATTGCGGAGATCGAGAGAGGAAACCACATATTAAAGGTGATTGTTCGGATGCATGCGTACCATTGAGTAAGCGACTGACTCAAGTTTATCAATGTCCCCAACCATTGACGTGCCCGTCTCAAGGCCCGCCTCTAAGGAGACGGCAACGACCAACTAAGTTGGGTTTGTAGCTAGTTATTGTTGGTTTGTTTTTTATCGATCTTTTACATACGGAACACTCATTCAATCAATTTAGAACCAATAAACCGTTAACCATCGTCACATTGGTTCCCGCTGCTACAGTTCCGATCACCGGGATGTGGAAGAGTGTGGGACATGGAGCCATGCCTTAAGGACGATGACATGTTTCGCTAGTTCGTGAATTGGATAGCTACCCATTGAGGGCAATGGCTTTGACGTACCAGCGCCGCTGACTGCGTGATTGGGTCATTTCCGCCAGTACCGTTAACCGTTGAAGAACTGAGTCCTGAAGTCTTCATTCAGGGAGGCGGCAGGTGTCAACTCGACTCAGTTTACTGGTTAGTGTTTCCATACTTCATTGCCAGGTTATAGATTGCCCACCTCCTGATTGCTCTCACGCAGCACAAGGCTGGATGAAAAGAGCTCTGCGAGGCAGGCAGCGGTGTACATGTCCTAACCAGGGTAACCTATGAAGTAGGGATAACTCATCTATCGCGAGGGAGTTTCTTCTTCCTAGGAATAATGGATAGGGGATTGGCAGGTAGGTTGGTCGACTGGTGGGGAGGGGATATGTGCGAGGGTCGATGCGCAAAGAGTGACACTCCCCGGTTGCTCGAACCGAAGGGGGTTTGGATGGTGTGCCCCGGCCATGAGCCATTGGTTCAGAAGTGTGATCCACAAGGTACTGGAAGGATATAGGGTTTTGTTCGGGGGCTTCGTCCTTAGCCTCTGACACAAAAGTTCGAACCACGAGGCAGCGGCTGTTAGGGTTTTCTAAGGGGACCATACCCAAAGTCATCGACTCAACAGATTGACCAACTTGGCCCGAGGACGCAAGGTCTCAATTCTAACGCAGCTGCGCACAGCAGGTGTCTTTTGGGCAGCACCGGACTTTTTGGTTTTAAAAGCATTTCGAATGTACCGAGTAGTGCTCCGGGGGTCATGGTCAATCATTGGGCTGATTATTTCTCACCCGCCCTTTCTAGGGAGAAGGCAGCATTGTTGGCAACATGCTGGTCCCTGAGGGAAACGCATTAACGCCTTCACTTCCCTATTGCAGAGGACAGCACAAAGTTACCTCCAGAGCACCTCGTAATGCGATTTATGGCAGCAAGAGGATTCGCTGTTCATCGTCGGCCTGCTCCAGGTTGGCCTTATCGGTATGATTGAACCTTAGGGAACTGACTTCCAGCCGGTGTAGCCCACTGGATCATTGCAGCACTGATGCACGACCACAACAAACAAGTGACAGCTTTAGGCAAGGATGCAACACGCAACGTACTTGAAACGTACCGCAACTCCGAATTCCTCTGCTTGGATTGTAAGCCAGGTTCATTCGGCTGAGGTGACCTTGATTCGACATGATGTGTAGGCGTAGGCACCCTATCTTTGATCGCGCTCTAACCACTGAGCCATCTCACCATATATGCATGTGTCACACTATACTGATGGCATCAGTATAGTCTGTCTGATTGGCCACCAATGAGCTACCGATTCACTTTCAGAAAAAAACGATCGAATGACCCCTACATGTTAGTATTTTGTCGTATAGCCTCAGTCGGCGGGGCATGGGATAGTTGCATTGAGTGTGGTTGCTCCAGCTCCCCACTGGATGCCATGTCTAGAAAAGTGATTGCTGTAGCCAGCATAATCCGTTATAGTGGTTTCTCAGATGTTCAAAGCCCGAAAATGCTTGTCTCCTATACTCCTGGTGTTCAAACGCGCGCTCCCAAGGTCAGTTCCGCCCGCCGGTCAGAACACTCACGGATTCACGGATTGATACACAGGATCGAGGCTTTGCCCAAGATTCCCTGATCACTTTTGTTCTTGACGGTCATTGACTGTCGTTCACCTGAAAGGCACAAGTGGAAAAAGGGTGTAGCACTGATCTTTATATTCTCAGCGCCGGGCAGTAAGCTTGCCAGCGCGAGGATTCGCATAAATAAATGTCTGAAAGTGCTTTAAACTGGGTTCTAGAAGGAGCGTGGACAACCGTCGGACGAAGGTCATTCCACGCAGCTACTACCCGAAATGAAAAAAAGTTT